TCCCCAGGGAGAGCACAGTTCTGACACCAGTGCAGCAGGGCAGCGGGCTAGACCGGGGAGGAAGGCAGTGAGCAACAGATTGGTTCCCCTTGCTGGGATGACAAGAAAACTCAGGAAGGGAAATGCTGATTGCCTGGGCTGCCCTTTTGTTATCCCCAGACCTTCTGCAATACTCATGCATGCAAATCGGCATCAGTGGAGACTGCTGTTCTAGAACCCAGAGCCACTCGCAGGAAAGACCCAAGGGAACCCAGAGCAGAGCTGGGACCCGCAAGCAGTAGAAGACAGGTGGGTAGCCAACCCAGAGTCCCCAGAATCCCTAGGGAAGGAGGAGATTTGGGATTTCCCATAGGACTGTGAGGAATATTTGTGTTATTTTATTTGAATGTTTTATGAAAGCATGACCACAGAAGTTGAAGGACTCAGCCGCACCCCTACAGTGAAGGTATTCCCTCCACTCCATAGGAAAGTAAACCATAGAACATTTGCACAGGCTACCTGAGACCACAGTTGCAGAGGAATAAAAGTGGAATTTGCACCCAGGTCCGAGCTGAGCCAAAGCTCATGACCCTTCTGTCCACCAGGCTTCCCCTGAAAGCAGTGTGAACTCATCTCCTTCTTAAGTCCCTGGCAACCAGAAGAGCTCAGCTGGTACTCAGCAACTCCAAGAAGCTCGTCAACGCCCATCAAAAAGACGCTGATGACATCACCCTCAGCAAAAGGAGGCCTAGAATGAGGAAGCCAATGGCTGCTTCATGCCCTCTAATTCCTATCTTTTCAAGAGCCCAGGCCTGGGGCCCAAATGAATGGTCAACTCCTTGGCACAAGAGGGTATTCAGACTTAGCAAGCAAAAATGGAAGGGAGCAAAGCAAATCAATTGATGTACAAAGTCTTGCACCCATAGTGACCCAACAGAGCAACAGCCCATCCTTTCTCCAATTTGTTCATCTTGATGGTGGGTGGGGTGACTGGCTGAAACATCATAGCTCAGCAAGACAGGTGGTGGCCTTACAATTAAAATAGCTTTTCAATAATTATGAACTAGTGAACATGGGCTGGGAGGATGCACATATTAGGAGGAAGAATGCAGCGTGTCACCTGCTCCTGGCCAACTTGGAGGACTGACTTCAAGGCACTGCCTTTCAGCAGCTCCTCTGTGCTTGAGGGAGTGGCTCCTGTCCACAGATCTCTGTGCCTGTCACTAGGTTCTCTGAGTTACACCCAAGAACCCTGGACACCTCAGTGCTGTGCAGAGGGAGGACAGTTGCTCAGACCTGGTGACCAGGAAGACGAAGTAGAATGAGTGACAACTTCCCGCAAAGACACCAAAGCCTCACACATTCATAATAGAAGCTATTGGGCATTTCCAGGGGCTCAAGCACAGCCACCTCCCTATCTTGAAGGTCATTTCCTACAATGCTGGGTACTAACTCTGTAGCCTAGTGGGGTAATCATTTGCAAAGCTCACCTGGTCCTTTCAAGAGCCAGGCAGTGTGTAATGCAGTGTTGTTTGCAATAGCAAAAGCTCTGAAAACCATCAAGGCCGTGACCATCTGGCCAGTCAGCTGGCACAGTTCTTAACTCGCATTTTTTTATTGTTAAAACTTTATCTTCAGAATTCTCCCCAGGTTCTGATAAGCATAGATATTCAGTGCAAAATGGACTAGTCCACTCAACCTTAGAAAAGAGGACTTTCTTTTACTGTTTTTTATTAATAGCAATCAAATTATTTTTATTTATTTAAGACTGTGTGTGTGTGTGTGTGTGTGTGTGTGTGTATTTGAGATAGGGTCTCACTCTGTCACCCAGGCTGGAGTGCAGTGGTGTGATCTAGGCTCACTGTGACCTCGCCTCCCGGGCTCAGGTGATTCTTGTGCCTCAGCCTCCCAAGTAGCTGGGATTACAGGCGCCCACCACCATGCTGGGATAATTTTTGTATTTTTAGTAGAGATGAGGTTTCATCATGTTGGTCAGGCTGGTTTTGAATTGCTGACCTCAAATGATCCACCTGCCTCAGCCTTGCAAAGTGCTGGGATTACAGTCGTGAGCCACCGTGCCCTGCCAAATTATTTTTAATTGTGGAAAACTACACATAACATAAATGTTACCATCTTGACCATTTTTCCAGTGTATAGTGCAGTAGTGATGAGTACATACACCTTGCTGTGAAACCACCAGCCATCTCCAGAATGTTTTCATCTTGCAAAACTGACAGTCTTTACCCATTCAACAACAACTCTCCATTTTCTTTTACTTTTGAGCTTTAAAAATTCTATTAATAGACCATGGTATATGGTAATTCACTTTTCAGCTCAAAAAATTTCTGGAAACATTATGCATAGAGTCTTAAAAAGCACCAGCACCCTCATCCGCCCCCACCGGAGAGTTCACAGGAAGACGGTGAGGGAAGAAAGGGACAGAACAAAGAGACACAGAAGCAAAGGTAAATGAATGTTTCATGAGAAAGAGGCCTGGGAAGTGCAGACTTGGAGAGGCTGCATTTCAACCACGAGGTCACCTGGGGTAATCCCTGGCCCTGGCCTCAATAACTTTTACAAAGGAATCTCCCTAGCACCAGCGTGATGAGCAAGACTCATTTTGCGCCCCTAAGCAGCCCCATCCTTGGACATGGCCCCATCAGGCAGCATGCATGAACAGCCGCTCCCTTCTAAGCAAACTGCTAAATAACTTCTAGAAAGAAAATGGTCCTTAATATTTGGGGGATGGAAAACAGAACCATTCTGAGTCCATACATGAATTCAGATTTCACAGTGTAACCCTGACTTTGTGAGGGTTTAAAGGACCTCCAGGGCCCATCTTCAAACACACACACACCAAGAATAACTTCACAGGGAAATATTTATTTCATGAGACTCTTACAGGCTGCCCTTTGCCCTTTGCCAACAACAGATGAATTCCTACCCGCAGAGAAAAGCCGCAGGTTACTTTTTCCAGCAAGCAGGCCAAGGCTGTGCTGAGCAGAACAGGAGAGCAAGACTCCTGGGCTGGCATCAAGAGGGCCAGAGCCCATAAATGCCTCCCTGAAGATACCTGTGCCCACAGTCGCCCTGTGCTGGAGAACCCGGCAGGTCCAGGATGCCAGGACCGGTCCTGAGGCAATTCCTGCACCAGCCCACCACAGAAGGAGGCCCACATCCACGATCAGGCAGGCCTTCCACATTCTCTCTGCATCTGCCTTGAAACTGGGCACATTCTTCACACCAGCAATCCTACTTATCATAATCTAATTTCAGGAAATAATTGTGGACACACACAAAAGAAGGACAGAGAATTAAGAATGTTCTCTGTGGGGTTGTTTGCAGAATCCAGTGATTAGAAACAACTGAACTTCCGACCGTCTGAGGCAGACTGAAAACATGGCATTTTGTCCGTGGGCTAAAGGAGAAGCATCCCAAAGACAATGGTCTCTAATGGTTTTGATGACATAAAAAAAAAAAGTTGCACAATTGAATAAGTACACATAAATATAAAACAAAATATATATATATATGACCAGTGTGAGGGTAAGCAGTTAGGTAGAAAGATCTGTCTTTCTCACCAATATGAGGTTTGGATTGTAAAAATCTGAGGTTGGCTAGCAAGATCATGAATACTATGGGATTGAGAGGAAAACAATTAAATGACCTTCAGTATGCTTCGAAAATACAGGAAATGTAAGTTCATGGAGAGGGCGTTACTACAGAAATAGCCTGAGAGCTGGTACCCTGCCCCAGGCAGTGCTGGGAGGGTCTAGGAGTCCCACAGGTAGCCAGCCCCATACCTCACACTGGGCAGGGGTGGGAAGGCCCCACTGGAGAGTTTGGGGGTTGAGCGATGACTGTGCCCCATGTCCCCATGGCCTGCCTGTGTGGATGGACTGCAGGTGAACAGGAATGTGAAGGTTCCTATAGGCCCCATGAGGTGATGACGCCCTGTAGGGGGTGATCTCGGGCCACCCACATTCCCTGGAGATGTGTGTTCAGGATGAAGAGGCTGCAGCCTGCAGGCTTCATCCAGGCACGAGCATAGAATGCCTGAAAGGCCAGGACAGAGCAGCCTGTCCAGAAAAGACATTATCAAAGATGCAGGCGGCACATGTGAATTAAAACCCCCTTTCTTCAAGCCACCCTGAGGTTACCCCCAAATATCATCATGTGAAAATAAGGCAAGTGGAATACTACCTGAGTCAGCATTTACTCAAAGACACAGGCTTCCAAGAGCAGTTACTCCATCAGAAAAAAGGCTATGTCAATGGTTTAGAATGAACTTCTACCACCTCCGTACCTCACCGCCACTACCCAGTGTCATGGGATCTGCCAATGACAAATAAATGTGTTCTCCCAAATTTCTACATAATTTTTTTTTCTCACTTCTTAGTGGTAGGTATCGTCTTAAAATCACAGTAGGCAAAACTGCACTTGGCAAGGGACTTCAGTAGTCCCATTGTTCACTGTGCTTCCCAGTGGGCTTATGGGAAATTTTTATTTATTTTCTTTTTGGTTCACCTATGTTTTCTAAATATTCTACAACAGACATGTATTTTTTTCTACACAAGAAAACAATTGCTTGGTGTATTATTACTTTTTATCTTTTTGTTTTTTTGAGACAGGGTCTCACTCCATCACCCAGGCTGGAGTGCAGTGGTGCGATTTCAGCTCACTGCAGCCTCGACCTCCTAGGCTCAAGCAATCCTCCTGCCTCAGCCTCCCAAGTAGTAGGGAATATAGGCTTACTCCACCATACCTGGGTAATTCTTAAATTTTATTATTTATTTATTTTTATTTTTGTGGAGACAGGGTCTCCCTTTGTGGCCCAGGCTGGTCTTGAACTTCCAGCCTCAAGTGATCCTTCCTCCTTAGCCTCCCCAAATGCTGGGATTACAGGCGAGAGCTACTGTGCCTGGACTGCTTAGTTTATTTTTATTTGCCTTGGCTGGGCATCTGTTTTCCATCAGTACTCCCACCCTTCAGGAAGCACAGGATGGGGAGGTTGAACTCACCTGGCAGAGGGCAGCCCAGGATCTCCATTCTCATGCAGATGCTCCCATTATCAAACCAAGACCGTGGGTTTATGCGGATGTAGCGGGCCACCATGGGGACGGGCAGCTCGTTGAGAACAGGGATCTCCTTCTCACTGTTTCCTTCAAATATCTATTTATGCTCAAGGAAGAAAAGGAAAATCTTTTAGTGCTTAATTACCAAGAGATAAAAGAGTCAGAATTCACTCATTCAACAAGACCTTATTGAGGAAAACCTAATGCGTGCTAGGCATTGAAGAGAAAAGAAGAAATGAATCAGGCCTGGACCCTGCCCGCAGGAAGCCTCCATCTAGTTGGTATGCGGGGAGGGGGTAATTATATATTGTAGGAAAAATCTATCGGTGTCATGGCAAAGGGACAGCTAGAGAGCTTTGGGATTTCAGAAGATGGAGAGGACCAGGCAAAGTTTTGGGGAAAAGGGGCTGTTTGAATTGGCATTGAAGGAAAGCTATTTAGATCTGTAGGGATGAGAGGGTATCCAGAGAAAATGAACAATGAGTGCAGAAGTCTAAATATTGGATTCCTCGGCAGAAGAGCAGCTGGTTCACTTGTACAAGGACACAGGACTGTGTGTAGGGGGTAAGAATGAGAAAGAAGATTGAAAAAGGAGGCCACAGTCAGACTAGTCAGACTGTGTAAGATATTGGATACCATGCTAGGAATACACACTTGAGAATCTGAGGAAGAGAGTGACAGGATCAGGACTAAGCTGGAGCTAATCATGGAACTGAAAGGCCAAGGTCACGAAATGAAGTTAGGAAACTATTAAGAAGAGCTGCAAGAGGCCCCAGCATGCATGCAACTTCCAGGGCTACCTTGCAAATTACGTAAGAGGCTGTATCCCTGCAGTTCCCTGATGGGAGTAAATAAAGGCTGAATTTTACATTAGCTCTAAATAAATGTGTGTCACTTGCTGCTGGGCTTCAGGGCATGGGAAGGGGTCTCTGTCCATCAGACCCTCATGGTAGGTTTGTGTTGACACAGAATCCACAAATCTCCAAAGAATTGATCATACATTGCCTCTCTTTGCAAAACTCCACCCAGCCAGGCACCAAAGGCATGGTTAGATGGAGGATGAGACTCACCATGTCTCCAGATCCATTCTTAACAGTGACCCACGTGTGGCTGTCATTGCTCACCATGACCTTATACGATGTCACCCAGTCACTCCTACGAGAAAATAAAACATCATCAGGACTATACACTTTAAAATGTTTATTTTTCCATGAAGAGGTTTAGAGGTGAGGAGAGCAGGTGCCAGAGGCAGATAGCACTGGGTCAAACCCTGGTTCCAGGACATTTACAGCTCTGTGACCTCAGCCAGGTAACTAACTGACCAATCTATGCTGCTATTTATTCATCCATAATATGGGAATCATAAAAGCATCAACCTTAAAGAATTAACGTAAGCCTTAGTTTAATGCCCTTTAATCACTTAGAACACGGCCTAGCCCCTAGTCATCACTAACTGTTGATCACACACATAAAGATATACAAATGGGCATCTATCTTTTTGCATTGAACACCTACATCACACCCAAGAAACTTAACAGAAAAATAATCTCAGTAAAGATTGCAAACTGGTCTAAAAATTTTGGTTGGGAAGCTGATTTGGGAATGTAACAAATGAGATTTTACTCATCACAAAAATAAAATCTTGAGTCTCTAAGAGATACTGGGTTTCTCCTTGGCTGTCACAGCCACACAGAAAATCCCCACCCCAGGAAGAATGCAGTGATGGCTGGACCTAAAGCCGTACCCCCATCATCACACCCCACTGCACAGAAATTTCTGGGGGTAAAATCGACATAATTTGACTTTCCAGAGTGGAGGTCAACCTGATAGCCTTGGCAAGAAAAGTGACCTATGCCTTTTTTTCTCACTGCCTCAGTTTTTTATAACGTTAGTTGTTGAATAATATAGGAAAGTCTTCCTGAGTACTCACCCCCCTGTAATTTTGTAAATACTGGAACTAAGCAGCAATTTACCAGATTTTTTGTTTTTTGTTTTGAAAATTCTGCCCATTAAAGTATTTGGAATCTTTTTCCTACTTGCCTGCTTGCCCTCAGGATTGAGATCTATCCAAATAAGGTTTTGAGTTTCCTATCTGAATTTATACTGCCCAGTAGAGTTTATTTCAAAAGAACAGCTGGTTCTGTGCAATCTGGTTCATCCGACTGACTTGTCATGAAAATGATTCTTAGGTGCTTTTATACATGCTTGGAAACAAACCCTCACCTCACACCTTCTCTTCTCCTCTCTCCTCCCCACCAGCTCTGTCTGAATACTGTTAGAAGCCAGAATTGATCACACATCACATTCCTCCTCTGATAGCCACCACTGTGAGCCCAGGGCTGTGGAGGGAGATACACTGGCATTGCCTTAACAAGAAAAGCACCTCAGTAACAGCTCCTTCCTTTGCCCTGGAAAATTATCCACACCCAAAATAGCAACCTGTTTCCCACATACAAATAATTTCCAAATGACTTGTAGCTGCCATTCCCTTTGCTGTCTGTTTTTCAGCTGATAAGGCCCGAGGGTGATACAGCAAGACAGACAACAGAGGCGGGAGCTGTATCCTGCCAAGACAGAGGTGATGAATGTAGGAAACCCCTCGGTCAAGAGAAGCACAAGACAATAAGAGGGGAGTAGAGAGAAAAAGAAAAAGAAGTTCTCCAACGAAAAGGAGAGGGCGGGGAAAAAAAGGAAATGAAAGCCAAGTCATAATTTCTCAAACTCAAACTAAAACAATTTAAAAAAAAAGAATACTAATCCCCTACTTATGTTTGAATTATAATTGTTTCTGTGGCTCAGAACTATCTTCTGAACTGCAAAGCTACATCATATCTTCTTGCCTAGTTGAACCCTCCACTTAACATCCCTGCGACATCTCAAATTCAACTTGCTTTAAACGAACTGATTCACACCTTCTGCTCTACACCATGACCGTAGCAGTCCACCAGAGGCCCTGCCCCAGGAAAGGTACTGCCATCCACCCAGGGAGGCCAAAATCCCAGTGTTAGCCTGGGTGTCCCACCTTGCCTTCCTCCCTGATATGGTTTGCCTGTGTCCTCACCCAAATTTCATATTGAATTGTAGCTCCCATAATCCCCAAGTGTTGTGGGAGGGACCCGGTGGGAGGTAATTAAATCATGGGGACAGGTTCTTCCCATCTCATTCTCATGAGAGTGAGTAAGTCTCACAAGATCTGATGGTTTTGTAAAGGGCAGTTTCCCTGCACATGCTCTCTTGCCTGCAGCCATGTAAGACATGACTGCTTCTCTTTTGCTTTCCACCATGATTGTGAGGCCTCCCCAGCCATGTGGAACTGTGAGTCCATTAAGTCTCTTTTTCTTCATAAGTTACCTAGTCTTGGATATTTCTCCATAGCAGTATGAAAACAGACTGATATATTCCCCTATATTGAATCCATCACCAACTTCTGTCAATTTTAACTCCCACATTTTTAAGAATGTATCCAACTCTCTCCACCTCCCCTACCACCACCCCAGTTCACTCTCTCAGGCCCCCTGGCATCTAAATTGCTCCCCCACCTATGTTGCAGGCAAGAGCTTACTTTTCTAATGAAATATTATCATGTCATCCCTGCTTAAAATAGCTTTTATTTTAAGTATTCTCATATTAAGCATTGTGCTATCTTAGTATTAACAAAATCCTCATCACACGCTACTGGACCCTTGCTTGCCTTGTGTTCTCTGTGTTCTTTCTTTCAATTCCTGATACTGTTTATACTCTCTCTTGCCCCAGGGCCTTTGCACATACTGCTGCATCTGTCTGAACCCCTCCTCTTCTCTCCTCCTCTGTCTGCCTTTAAATTATTCAGACCCCAAACCAAATAAAAAAGCTAGTCCTAACCCTTCGATCTAGCCAATTTCTTTTCTTGTATGCTTTCGTTCATAGTTTAATTCAGTTTGTAATTTCATACTCCTTTCTGGAATTACCTGATACTGTCATTCTCTCCCACTGAGGTATAAGCATCTCACAGATGGAGAAAGGAGGGCCCATGGCACTTGGAAGACAGAAAGGATGCTGGTGCCCCAGGAGAGCAGAGGAAGGGACAGGGGCGCAGAGGCCAGGGCATGGTGGGCTTTTAGGCCTTTTGATAGGAGTGGAACTTCCTCTGCCGGGCAGTAAGGAGCTACCCCTCTTGAAGTTCACCAAGGGTGGTCAAAGTACCTGAAGACCAGTTAGAAAGTCTCTGCTTCCAAAAATTCCACCGTAATAGAATGCGTGCCAATCAGAGGCTGTCCTTGTTTTTTCCCTGTTTAGAAAACTAACTCCCCTTTCTACCACCTTTGAATCACTGCTGAAATAAGCGTGATCACAGATGGGTCCTCTTGTCACAGGTTTATGAAGACTTTGTTCATTTTGTTTCAGGCCTAGTTTCATCTTTGACAATTCTTATCACTGCTTATAATTATGCTTTATTCATTCTCACTGCTTTCTACTACTCTACTCTGAGAACAGTCACCATAATTTTTTTTTATCCGTTTTATTGCTAATGGGGATTTGAGTAGTTTCCAGTTTAGGTTATTAGGAAGAGTGCTTCTGTGAACATTCTTGCATGTATCTTTCAGTGAATTTATATAAAAATTCTGTTTGGTGTATAATTAGGAGTGGAATTGCTAGGTCATAGGGTCAGAGGGTAGATGTATGTTCATATACCTATGTTCAGCTGCAGTATTTTCCAAATTAATTATACCTATTTGTACTCAGACCAGCAATAAACAAGAGTCTGGTTGTTCCACGCTCTTATTGACACTCGATAGTATCTTCCTTTTTTATTTTAGCCATTCTTGATGGATGTACCCTTTTATCTCATTGTTGATTTATTTTAATTTGCTTGGTGACTAATGAAGTTCAATATTTTGTATGTTCATTGGGTATCTGAATACCATCTTTTCACAAGTGCCTACTCAAGTTTTCCCCCTGTTTCAATTAGGTTGTCTGTCTTTCTCACATTGATTTATAGAGCTCTTTATACATTCTAGATATAAGTTGAATAATATATACATATATTGCAAATATCTCCCCCAATCTGTCTTCCTTTTAATTCTCTTTGTAGTATCTTTCTTTTTTTTTTTTTTTTTTTTTTTGAGACAGGGTATTGCTCTGTCATCCAGACTGGAGCCTCCCAGGCTCAAGCAATCCACCCACTTCAGAGTCTCTCAAGTAGCTGGGACTACAGACGTGCACCACCACACGCAGCTAATCTTTGTATTTTTTTTTTTTTTTTGGAGAGATGGGGTTTTGCCATGTTGCCCAGGCTTGTCTCAAACTCCTGGGCTCAAGTGATCTACCCACCTTGGCCTCCCAAAATGCTGGGATTACAGGTGTGTGTCAACACGCCCAGCCTATGGTGTCTTTTGATGAAAAAAAAATTCTTAATATAATCCAATCTTAGCCATTTTTTTCTTTATGGCTTTCAGTATTTTTGTTCTTTTCAATAAATTTTTGCCTACTCCAAGATGATAAAGATATTAACTGATGTTTTCTTCTAAAAAATTTTATTGTTTTACCTTTCACATTTAAGATCTGCAATCCATTTGGAGTCGATTATCGTATAGTGTGAGGGGTCAAGATACATGGTTTTCTTTTGTTTTTGTTTGTTTTTTTGAGACAGAGTCTCTCTCTGTCACTCAGGCTGGAGTGCAGTGGTGCGATCTTGGCTCACTGCAGCCTCTGCCTCCTGGGTTCAAGCGATTCTCCTGCCTCAGCCTCCTGGGTAGTTGGGACTACAGGTGAGTGCCACCATGCCCAGCTAATTTTTTGTGTTTTTAGTAGAGAGTGGGTTTCACCATGTTTGCCAGGATGGTCTTGATGTCCTGACCTCATGATCTGCCTGCCTCAGCCTCCCAAAGTGTTGGGATTTACAGACATGAACCACCACACCCGGCCCAAGATACATGGTTTTCTAAATGGGCTTCCAGCTGACCTAGAACCATTTATATGGTTATTTTCCTATTGCACCAGAGTGGCAATTTGCTATAAATCATGTGACTGTGTATGTCTAGATATATTTCTGGATGCTCTATTCTGTTCTGTTGGTCTATTTCTTATCCTATCCTAAATCTGTCTTATCTAATGTTAATTAATATTAGCATATTAATAACATTAATACGTTTTCTCACTTTGTTTTTGCTTTTCAA